GCAGGCCCAGCAAGCATTGGATCTCGATTGAAGGCCACCGACCAATCCAGAAAGGTAGAGGCATTGAAGCACGCAATCTGCATCCAATACAGTATACATGCTTCGTGAGCATCGTAGTAACAAGTGGGGTTGCACATTATGACGGCGGGGTTGAGCAGGTATGAGGTAAGACGCTCGTCAGGGAACAACATGCGACGCCTCAAAGGCTTGCAGCTCGAAAAACACCTATTCACTGTTTGGACTGCTTGATACAACAGAAGAAACGGCGTTCTCATCATTTTTAACAACATGTCCGACTACAGCGATTATTGTTGCAAAAGGCGAACGATTCAGCAACTTCCAGTCCCCGCTCGGAAGGGTCACAATGCCATACTCAACTCCAACTACTTAGACGATATTGTCGACGCGATTGGTACGTGGAGCTGCCAGCGCATCCTCATAGTGCACTCGAAGGCGCTTCACGAGAACACGGATATTGTCGAGAAGCTGAAAGAAAAACTGGGCTCGTTTGTTGTAGGGACAAAGTCGGGGGTCGGCGCTCACTCTCCATACGAAGACGTACTGGAGATCGCGAGACTATTCCACGAAAAGAACGCGGATTGTCTGATCAGTATAGGAAGTAGCAGCTACTCGGATGCAAGCAAGATCGCTCGCTTGATGCACGCGAATCTCGCTCCAGATAACCTCACGGTAGAGGCCATGGAATCCTTGGTAGACCAAGAGAAGGGAAGTGCAGTTGATCTGAAGGACCCAACGACAAAACTCATCCTCGTACCGACGAGTCTATCCGCAAGCGAGTGGAACAACAACTCATCTGCAACGAACCCCAAAACAAAAAAGAAGCAGCATTTCGCAAGTGAGCATGCAGCGCCAGACCTCATCCTCCTGGATCCTGAAGTAGCGTCCACATCGCCTCGGAAGTTGTGGCTGTCGAGCGGGATGCGCGCGATAGATCATTGCGTCGAAACGGTATGTACTGCCCTCGGAGTTTCGGAAGGTAGAGACTGTATTGACACTGTGTCATCAACAGATGCTCAACGCCAAGTGCACCCGAGAGGTTTTTCACCATATGGAAGATGCGCTTGCAGTCCTATTGAAAGGGCTGAGAAACTACAAAAACGGCGAAAGCGACAGCAACCGATCCGAGCTGCTCGATGGAGTCGGAAATTGCCAGATAGGTTCTAGGAACGCGATGATGGGTCTCATACTGTGGAGCGTTCCGATGGGGCTTTCGCACGCCATTGGACATCAGCTGGGAAGTGTATGCGGCGTTATGCACGGCGTCACGTCTTGTGTCATGCTCGCCCCTGTTCTACGGTACAATGCCTCGAAGTCGGAGAAGCAGAGAGAGGTACAGCAACGCGTGCTGGGAATCTGGAACAAGGTCCTTGAAAGCGACGAGCCAAGCCTTGCGGATGCGGTGGCCAACTTTGTGAGAAGCCTTGGGTTGCCGAGTACGCTGAACGAAGTAGGTGTTACGGAGCAAAAGGAAATTGAGAAAGTAGCGGAGCGCACCATGACCGACGTGTTCGGAGCGATGGAAGGTATGGGCGAGAAGGAGGATGTGCTGGCTATCTTGGCTTCAGCAAATGCCCAAGGTACCGAGGATGGAGGACTGGAAGGAGGCGCACCGATGTAGAACACGCTCTAGGTAGAACAAACGTAACACTCGCTTATATCAGCTGCGCTCTCGACTTGCCCTTGGGGAAATAATGCAACCGCAGGTCACCCATCGGAAGCTTCTCAGACTTTGCTACATCTTCCATAATGACAGTCGCCAGCTCAGTAGGAAGCTGGCCACCGCCCCATCGCCTCATAGTCCTCCAAATCTCGTATATCCTGCTGCTTTCGTGCAGGAATTTTGTGGATCGACGGAACCAGCCAGCGGTCATGTGCTGAGCCACAGTGTACGAGCGGGCAAATCCCCACCTCTCCCAATCTTGCAGATCTTGCGCGGCCCATATGGGGAGTAGATCACTGGCCCTTGACAACGCTAGCGTTACCGGTGCCGTAGCTTTGTCCCAAGCAATGAGTTTGGGGGTTGATGATGAAGATGTGCGCGGTTGGGTAGACTGCGAGGATGGTGGATCCCACTGATCCACACAGATCGTCAACAGCGCATCATCCAGGATCCAATACAGACTCTCGCGTTGACTGTGTAGGAACCGCTCCAGTCCGACGTCCTTGTGTCGCAGAATGTTGACGCCCCAATACACCAGTGAGCATGCCGCCTCTGCCCACGACGCTGGCGCGACGTCCACCAGCTTGTGCACGGTCGCGGCAAATTCGCGGGTACGATGGAAGAGCATTTGGTATAATTGCGGGATAACAGTTAGACCATGAAGATCGGCTAGGGTACTGATGTTCATGGACCGGATGGCAAGGTCCATGGTGTAGGTGGGGTGGTGAGACCCGCGGTCCCAAGGTCGCAGAGTAGGGACGCGGAATTGTCCATCTTGCGGCAAGGGATCAGAGCCTAGACGTGGCGGAACCTTGGATTCGGGAGGTAGATTTAGCGCAGGCACCATGGTGACCATCACAGCTACAAGGCAGGCCAGAATGATGTAGGAGCGATGATTGTGGATGCTGTTGGTTGCGGCCTTACACCAAGTGAGCTGAGCTGAGCTGAGCTGAGGTTGTCTCGTTGGGAAGCGGGGTACACAGTCCCTTCCAGCTAAGGGGGTGCAAGGAAACCTATGGGATAACGATCCAGAAAGCGTGCCTGTGTGTGAAAGGGTCCCTCACGTGGAAGGGCGGCTCCTGCCCATTCGGCACGCTAGCGCCCTCCGACGCCGGACAGCCGGCAGCTCTGGACGCGTACGCCTCAACACACATAGACCCTTCTTCATACAGCCCTTCGATAATCGCGTGTTATTCGATCATCCGCGCCATTCATGAAATCGCGAGGCCCTTCTCAACAGAGTCAAAGGGTTCAATCGCGCATTCTTGCCCGTATACCCATGTCGTATGCTCCGATCTAGCCCGTTATGGGCGTCGATCATCGCCCGTGATGACAATGGTAAACCATGCGAAGCACCCGTTCCGAATGTCGAGAGAAGAATGCGGTGGACAACGGAGCTTCAAAGCATCTCAATGGATGTATCCAGCGGGGTAAAGTATGACCATGTAATGCGAACCCTCATTCTGGGCTCAATACATCGAATATATCTCATCATGATCAAGACGTAGTCTCTGGCACCATGTCCCCTTCATACAGTCATCAATGCTTCCTACTTGATTTGAGAGCTCATCCGTCAGTATAAGAAGGCGACTTCCCCATTTCAACATAGCAACAACCAACATCTTTACATCGTCAAGATTCAGAGTTTCTTCTCTGACAACCTTTTCTCATCCTTCACTCTGACCTAAGGGTCAAGCAACATACAAGATGACGAAGTCCTCTTCCATCATCACCATCTTCTTCTTCTTCTTCTCCGGTGCGGTCTTCGCCGCTGTCGTCCCTCCTTTCGTCACCTCTGCCGCATCCGCCATCTTTGCCACACCTGCCCCCCGTTCCGAACCCCTCTGTGCGCCTCTCGGTGACAGCACTGCCCCGGAGCCATCCTCCAACGCTCTCTCGGCTTTCACAGATGACGAGAAGTACGACGAGTTGGCCTTGACGGCCCCAATTCCTGCCGGCTACACTGCCACCATGAAGAACGCAAACTGTGCCTTCTCGTCCAACAGGTACATGCTGTACGTTCAACTGGACTCATACAGCCCGGAGGCTTGCGCCGAACTCTGCAACAACCATGAAGGCTGCGACTCCTGTAAGTTGTACCCTTTGGCATGATATTATTATATAGCAAAGCTAATCATCTTCCGCTATGTAGTCAACATCTACATCCAGCGCAGCCCGTCCCAAATTCCTGGACCTGCCTGCCCCAATCCTAATCCCATTGCCGTCGCCCAATGTGCCCTCTACTCCCTGCCGGAGGAGGCATCTTCTTGCACAAACTTTGGTCAGCACATTGGCCCCGCCGATGCCAACGGCGAGGCCTTCAAAACTGCTATGCGCAGCTCCAACGGTACGCCTATACATCTACGTACCAGCTCAAAACTAATCAGTGTACGCAGCATACAACAAGATCGCTGTCAAGGAAGTCACCGTGACTGTCACCACTACCCACCATATGCACACGACCTTCACCAGGCTTGTCTCAAGGAGTGATATCTCACGGAGAGACATTGCCACTACTATTGACAATGGTGATCGAACAATCAACATGACTACTACTGTCACACACACTCGTTCTGCAAAGTCCAAGTCCGTGGCTGCTGGAACCCCGGCTGGTGTTGTCACTGTCACTCAGTCGGCAAACCCTGCTTCTTACGTTGGTACGGTCACCGTTACCCGTTCGGCAAACCCGACTGCACATGCTGGCACTACGACCGTTACTCGGACCAGGTCCCAGAGCGCAGGCGCAACGCCCTCCCAGTTCCAGTCTGTCATCTACACAACCGTCACATCCTACTACGACAAGCGCGCCGAGCCGTACACTGCGCCTGCTGAGTACGTCACCGTCACTGTGGAAGGAGAGCCTACATACGTCGACACTACGACCACGACCGTCATCAACACGTCTGGCGTAGTGACCGTGACTACCACTGTCCCCAACACCTTACCCGCGGAGACCACGACCATCACCGTTGATGACGCTGAGACACCTACCTACGCTGACAAGCGCAGCCTGGGCCCTGCTGTCACGGCTGAGCCAATGCTCACTATCACGATTGACGAGAACTACGTGTACACTGGTCCTACGGATGTGCCCATGAAGACCTATACCATCTACCCAGACCACTAGAGTGAGTAGTAGGGGTGCATCTGACTTTCTTGTGCTTTCGAAATTCGCTGGACTTAGCGCGGAGTCTGGCGTTAACAAGAGAATTGGATTTTGACTGTGCGGGCTGATGGTGTCTTGACTGCTTGCGCTATAGACATAACTAGCTAACGATAACAACCCGTAAAACAACTTGTGACTTTCCAGTGATGCAAGTTAACACCCCTTCTCACTCCCCAGCACAATCATCGCAAAACCACTCTCCCTCTGGAATTGTCTTGGAAGTCATCCCGATGCAGGCAAAGTGGAACCACTCGCCCGCGCAATCCTCCCCATCACACCCCACCATCCCACCAGTCTCGCGACGACAGTCTCGAACGCAGTAGCGGCTTGACTCCGACTCCGGCTCATCGTCGCCGCCATCCTCGAAACCGTCCTCAGAAGCAGAGGCGGAACCATCGTCGTCGTCGGCAACCAGGATTGGTGTGTCTCCACTGGCACCAACAGCAGGAAGCCCGGCGACTACATCGTCCTCAGCCTCCTCAATCTCCACACTCTCTGCGTCGTTGTCGGCGCCAGGCTCCTCAGCGAGAAGCTGCTCGACGACCGCAAGGGGAACGTCGGCGGCAAAGGCTACGAGCTCAGCCATCTTGCGCCTCTTGCGCGGCATGTCGTCGTCAGAGTCATCTGACTTGCGCTTGTTGGAGGGAGGCGCGCAGGACGGACAAGACCAATGCGCAGGGCGATCTTCCAGCCCTACACAGCTGAGATGGTAGTACCGGGGGCGGCACCGGCGGTTGACGCACCCAATTATGGGTGTGAGGTAGGTGTTTGGTGTGTTGCAGGTGCAGATGCCGGGAATTGGAGGAGAAGCGCCAGCGCTTCCAGAAGTGGCTTGTTCGGTGATGGTAGAAGTCATGATAGCTTTTGTGAGGAGAGATTTGAAGACTGTATAAAGAAGTGGCTTGAAATTGGTACTGGTAAGAGGAGATGGGAGTAGAGGTTGCTGGGAGAAAGTAGGAGAGGCCGGAGCTGCTTGATATAAGGAAGCCCAGGGCCGTACTGCAATGCTGGTCTATTGTATTTGTGATCACAATAGCTAGATGAGAATACTGCGACGACAATAGCACAGCAATGAGGGCGAAGTGAAGGTGGAATTCTTGGCACGGATGTGAGAGACGAAATCGCAAACTAGATGTAGCGAATAGTAGGCGGAGCGTTTGCAATAGTCACAAACAATCCTTGTTGCCCTCTCACAATACATATTACCTTACTCTCCGTGACCAACGATCTGCCTCCTCCCATGTACACCCTCCCACTGCTCCCAAAGCCCCTTCCAAATGTCTCTCTCACTCCTGCCTAGACCGGCGAACATAGCGTCTAGTCCATCCCTGTGCAAGCTCGCCGTGCCGATAACTTCCCAGATGCCTGGCATCAACTTCTCCCTCACCTCCTGATCTAATCGTCCGCTGAGCTGGAAGCGGCAGAACGATGCGAGGAGAGGGTACAGGAATTTGCTAGCCTTGTCGCGGGCTGCCTTGATGGGGTCATTGAGGTCCTTGGAGTTACGTGACTGATGATGTTGGTGTGCCTTTGTGATAGAAGATTGCGGTGGGTTGCACAGAGTCGAGAGAAGGCGGGTGAATTGCGCTGCATTTGTAGGTGTGAGACGCACCGGCTCCGTAGCTGTGACGGTACGTAGCCACGAAGGCAGAGCGCCACTGCGAGCAGCATTCGGGATGAAGAGGCAGAACAGCAGGCCTTGCAGAAGTGGTAAGAGAAGATGGAAGCGTCCGCCCAAGCGGCCACGGTGTACGAGCAGGGTGAGGCGACTCGTATGGCAGAGCCTTGAGAAGATCTCAGGAGCATACTGAGATGACAGTACGGGGCTGCTTCGGGATGTGAGCTTTACGAGTACGCTGAATACGCATTCGATACTGTGTTGTGAAGCAAGCGAGGGTTTGTCGTTCAGAATTGTGTCAATGCAGCCGAGCAGAGCGTTGAAAGAATCGTAGTCGGGACTCTCGGCGAGCAGAACGCATATCCTTGGTAGCAGTGCAAGCTGCCTCTGCTTGAGCTCGGCGTTGGATTCCAGCTGGTCGTCCACGGTCTTGATAAGATCGTCGAGAATGCGGTAGGACGCGGCAAGGTTTGGCTGCTTTTGATCAGCAGTCAGTGTTGTGACTAAGTCTAGCTTCTCGTGAAAGGCGAGCGGGCCGAGCGTATTGCGCAGTGTTGTATACACGTTATCTTGTATGCGGACTGGGCTACTTCTGAGGACGGTAAGCGCCAGGCTGATGAGCCACTTGACGTCTGGGTAGAGCTCATATTTGGCGATCAATGTGTAGACTCGTGCGAAGTAGTCTGCAACTTCGCTCGGGATGAGAACTGATGGATCGATATATTGCTCAAGGTCAATGGCGTCTTTGAGCCATGTGCGGAGCCATGCCTGCACGCGGTCAAGCTGTTTCACTTCTTTCAAGGCGTCTATAGACAGCTCGTTGAAAGCGTCCAACGACCCTTGAAGCAGTGCAATATCCTCACTACCAAGACATTGCTTGAGCAGGTCGACATAGCGCTCGATGTGAAGCAATGAGTTTTGCTTCTGCGAAACCGACGTCGCTCGCAAGACCGAGAGCCTTGCTAGCGTGCACTTGTTAGTGGCTTTTGCAATGGATAGCAGCCGTCCTGCATAGGCGATGGAGAACTCTTTGTTTTGGGCTTGAGCCTGGTTCGGGATGATATGGCCAAGGGTTCTTTGGACGAGCTCTCGCAGTAGCTGCAATGCTGCATCTGTTTCGAGATTTTGGCGATGCAGCTGTTCCGCGATGTCGAATATGACGTCTGCGTCGGTAGAAACTTTGGCTTTTGCATTTGGAACATATTGGAGATGTGCCATGACGCTTAAGGGTACTACTGTGTCGCTCTGTCCGAGGTCGAGGAGTTCGGTCGTGCGGTCCAGTATGGCTTGTCTTTGCTCGCGGGACAAAGCCGAAGGTTGAATATGAAGTATTGCTTCGCCGACCACAGCAGGCATCTTGTTTCCGGCTCCCTGCCCGAGAGCCTCCACAAGAGCTGCACAGTATGCGTCTTGTATGACGGATTTTCCATGCTCGAGGATGGACTGAGAAAGTGATTGACAGATAAGATCCCTAGTAACGCCATCGAATTGAGGTAGCTTCGATAGTAAGGCATGCAAAGATTGGCGGCATGTATCCTTATCTGCGTGCTCGAGGAGACTGATAGAGTATGCGCAGAAAACCTGGATCATTTTCTGCTGTGCGTCGGGTTCTAGCTGGTCGGAAGTTAGTGAGCTGATCGCCTTGCCTAAACCACTGCGAATAATCTCCTCCGAACCGGACAGGGTCTGAAGACGATCACAAGTATTAAGCCAGAACAATGTTGCAGCAGCTCTTGCAGATGCATCTGCGCCTTCGCCGGCGTCTCGGCGCCCTGCTGACTTGACTTTCAGAGCTTGTTCGAGCAGCGGGTAGAGTAGCTCATGTTGCAGCGGGGATGATGCGTGAAGCTCGATGGGCCACAACTTCTCTAGTAGCTGGCACAGTGTGAACCAGGAGAGGTGGGCCTTGGTGTAACGGCTGTAATTGAGTTCCTGAACCCATGTCTTGTATGTGAGGAACAAAGCATGAAGCTCAGATTTAAGTGCTTCGATCGTGCTCTCGGACTGGATTGATTGGAGAAGAGCCGGCAGCAGGACAGCACTGCTTGCTGCATTCTTGTAAGCGGCGAGTTTCCTAACCTTGACGTTCTCTTCGGCGGAGGTCTCGATTGCCACAGCAAGCTGCGCCAGGCGCTCCGCATGCTCCTGAATCAGTGTTGTTATCTGGTTCTGGGTCAAGGATGGTTCGAGAGACTCCGCTAGAGCACTGTGCAGGGCGCGATCTTCCCAAATGATTTCCTGTCCATCCTTGAGAGAATTGCGCTTGCCGTGCCTGTAGCTCTTGACCAACTGCTCATCCCATCTCCGGATGAAGCCGAGTAGATTCCGGTGGCGCACAAACGCCAGCATCAGTGGGTTGATGATCCTCTCCAGAATTTCAGCGCGTCCTAAGGGAGCACTAGCCTCGTTGTTGGATGCGGAGTGTCGCTTTTCTTTAGAGCTAATGGCCATCTGCTTGTCGGTAAAGCCTGCACCCTCTAGCTCTGAAGCCGTTATCTTCTCGAACAAGAATTCAGTAAGGTCAGTCTGACGCTCTTGCATGACTTTGGCTCCCAACTTCGACTCCACAAAGACTGATGAGTCGAGCTGAATAAGAGATGCGATGAGGGACCAATGCACCTGCTTCTCCTGACGTTCGGGGTACTTCACACCACAGTGATACCAGAAGATCTTTTTGACAAGGTCTGCAGAAAGGCTTACTTCATGCGCTTGCAGAACGTGTATAGCACCGCTAAGCGCAGTAACGGCCGTCGGCCGTGTGATGAACTTCGGAGGTGTGGTTAGCGAGCACCCAGCACACTCAGCAAGCGCTGAAAAGACAGCCTGTATCCAAGGCTTCTCCATGGCCCTGCTCCTGGGCGTCCGTGATGGAGAGGCGCGGATAGCTAGATCGAGCACATGAGGGACTGTGTTGAAAAGAGATGCGAGCTCTGTAGGTAGCGCGTCGCCACCATCTTCGATCTGCGCAGCCTGGAGGAGCTTTGCGCGGAGCGGTTCCAGGTTACTTGCAAGGACTGTGGTATCTCGGGCGTTCGGACCAACATCATTAGAGCCTGTAGCGACACTGACCTCTGCAAAGAAAGCTGCTCTTGATGGTGCTAGCAGGTGTCTCGCCAAAAGCTTGTCGAGCGCTGCGATTGCACGATCAAGGGTTCTCTGAGAGCATCTTGTTGTACCATCGCTACGCATCTTTTTGAGAAGTTCCAGCAATGTCAAGATAGGTACAAGGCACTCGGTGTTGAACTCCTCAGCGGATGCCCCAGTCTCGTCTTTGACCTCAGCGGCTCGCAGGTCCCACATCTCAAGCGCAAGCGACAGGTTCAGGTAGTCTTCCAAAGTAGTAACCTCGGAAGTGGAAGAAGGCGTCGCGCACAGTATCCGGACAGCAGTAAGCCAGAACCTTAGAATGCGCGAGGCTTCTGCGCTGTCTGTCCTCAAAACCATCTTCATCAGCTCAGCCTGGGTAGTGTCGTCGCTTTGGTCGCTTCCGGCCAGGTGAGCGATAGAGTTTACTGCAGTCCTGACCACACCAAAAAGACGGCCTAGGTTTACAGGGCCAGCTGCTGTCGACGCTGCCGATGATGCTTCAGCCGTTCCCCGTTTGCGCTTCTTGGATGGCTTGGTTCCTTCGCGGACGGTCGCGCTCGACTCGGAGTCATCTCTCATGTGAACGTCTTCTGAAGTGGCCGTCGACTGTAGGACTGCGTCTGTGTTGAAGTTCTCAACGAGGGTTCTCTCCAAGATACTGGGAAAGGCGGCATCGCGTAGATGCGGTGCGCTTCTTGAGACAGGCAAGACATGTATCATCCAGTCGAGAAGCTGCCACGCGCTGGCATTTGTTCGCGCTGTCCGCCCGGTTTCCGTCTCGTCTTTCAACTTGTCGAGGATCCAGCGCAGAACCCATTCCGCTCTTGCGCGCACGAGTCGTCGTATGATTTCTGACCTTGTGTCGTGATCCGGTATGGTACTCCAGTCTTCGGGAAGGCCTA